CATGAATTCCATGTTGCTTCAGACACCATGCTTAAACGTCCTTAAATCTCACTCAAGGACTGCCTCTACGGCTGGAGGGAACTACCTCAACATCTAGGAGCAGTAGCTGTTTATCCTCCTCCAACCCCATTTCAAACTTACCTATTTCACTAAGTCAAGTTATAAAGTTCAAGATTTTTTCCCAACGTTCCTTACAATGCGACCAAAATGCAAGGTACCTACCAAGGTTTCCCGTGATAGCACTTGGTTGCCTCAGTAGCTTCTCGAGTTCCTTTCGTAAATTGTTTATGTATTTATTTGCCAAAAGGGGTGAGAAGGAACTCTCATGGCTTGTCCAATTATTTGTTTATGGACATTGCCAATGAAGTTTAACAATGTAATGCTTATTTCCAGATCGATCAGCTTTGTAAAAGAATCTGTGCATCAGCTCTGCTTCCAGTCTACCATTTTCTCGTTCGAAGATCTCTAGCAAAGCCATGACTATCCTCTCGCCAGATTTGTTTATGCAGATGTATTATCGGTCAAAACTTGGCAACCTGTTCCTGCCATTCCAATATTTTAGATTCTTTGCAAAATTTCATATAAATAATTCATGGTGCTTGATAGTCCTTTACTTACATTTTTGAGCCTTAAACATATTAATTTCGCCAGCATGTGTCGTTTCACTCTTATTTTTTTCCTAGTTACTGTAATTGTTCTTCTTAATACCTAACTTTGGTTGTTCGTAGGCTGTCGGTGTTCCTGCATATTTTTATCTTGGAATTCATCACCGATCTGTCGATTTCTTAGTTAAATTGCAATTCCTTCAGTCTATCCTTTAGTATTCCGATGATATTCGTGTTTAGATTCTTTCTTAATATTTTTGTAGTATTTCGGCTGCGTAGTTTGCTAACCATATTCTGCGTGTTTTGCTTTCTGTCCCATTACAACCGTCCCTCCCCCCTTAACCGCCTGTAGGACTATTTAGTTATTCCTTTGTAATTTTATGCGTATAAAAATTAATCCGCTTCGTTTATGGGCTCTTGATATGCTATGGTTATCTGTATTATTTAAATTTACATCTCCCGTTTATTCACTTCTGGGTATTCCTCAAAGATAATCACAACTTTGATAAGACTACCACCTAAAACATTTCATTAGGTGCGGAAAAAAAATTCAACCCTCTCCTTTGATGATCCGTAATCTCGGGACAAAGAAAGACTAATGATAAATTTAATAACTTATCCCTATCGTCAGCAGACAGTTGCTTAAGGAATGGACTTCACTTGCCTCTCTAAAGAGATTTAGTGTGGCTATAAGTATGGTAAGGCTGACTGACGATAATGACTACGAGGTACTATTAGCCATATTAATTTCCAGGGTCGGAATGCGGGCTTGATACTATTATAGAAGTTTCTGGCAATTTATGACGCTGAAAATCAGCATAAAAACTATGACAGAGGATCAGGAACAAGGTATGTACACCTAGGTCCCTCTGAGACCACGACAAACGTGAGAAAACGAGCATGTTTGCTAATCCAGTAGATCCTAGTATAAAGGGTTTTGTTGTATTAGTATATTTTATCAACAATCTCTCAATAAAGGAAACCATTATTTTATTCTCGGATGATCTGCAAAACTTAAATCTTAATTTTGGCTTTGCTGCATAGGTTTAATAAGGATATTTCCATGTAAATGTAACTTTATTTATTATGTACTCTATACCTCAGGAATTAATCCCCTATTTCTTCTTGTTTTAAATTAGAAAAAGATCTTTCTATGGCTTTAATAGAATGAACCTATATAGATAAAATTCTCAAAAAAAAATTATTTCGCTAATATGAAAGACAAAATAATGTTGTCTTTTTGTTGCCCAGTCTGCTTCAGATGTATAATGATGGTTTAACTTCGTTTTTCAACTTGGTCGAGACGAACGGGGAAAATCCAACAGTGTATGTCAATCTGTGAGATATAAAATGCAGGGCCACAAATATCCTAAATGTACATTATTAGAGGTATTATTCTAAAGCTGTAGGTCTACTTCGAATTTACTTTGACAGGGAAACCGAGCAGGGGGCAGGAGATTAGTTAGTATATAATGTTTGTGTATCATTTTTCGTGTGTGAGTCTGTGGTTAGAGGCGACTGGTGACATGCTTGACTATGGAGTTTGCCAATAAACTTACACGTGCACAACTAACCAGAACCTAAGGATTATGTGTGACTGCAAATTTGAGAGACAAGAGGAGCGTACTTTACATAATTCACTAGTGGAGCAAGTAAGCGGTCCATTTTATCTTTATTGGTTCCTAATCAAGCGAGAAACAGGGCGCCAAGGAATGAGTAAGAATAAGATGTGAATGAGAAAGAGAATAATTTGGTCATGTGCCTGAAGCCTATAAAGAAGAAGATGCATAAGCATGTAAACCACGTGTTTTAAATCCTCAGATATGACGTAAACGAAGACCGGAATTGAAGGTACATAGGGAGCCATATAGACAATGATCTGTATGTGTAGAATGATAAAACTGGTTATCGGGGTAGGAAGGGGCTTATTAAAACACAGAAACCTTGAAAGCAGCATCTGAACTCGGATGTAACGTTGACTATGCTTCACTAAATCAAATTGAAGTGACAAACCCTTATGTGATAATAAGGGAAACGGGGAAACAGAAAGCTTTGCATATGTAAATAAGGAGTGTGAAGTGAAATCGGTTGAAAAAAATATACCATTATAAGATATGACAAAAAATAAGAGCAAGGAGTGACTTCACAACGGTTAAACAAACAATTGTAAATGGGATTGCCTTCATTTGTTCATTTGGTAGGTTGTATCTATGTGCTAAGGATGATGCCTCTTAATGATGATGCCTAATAAGATGTCAGTAAAATGTCTGGGAATGTGCTAAATCCGATACTAAAAATGATCATAAAGTCTATAACATGGAACTTAGAATAAGGTATGTTCCTCGTGTTCTTAGTGTCGCACCGACATACTTGCGAGATTAACTCAAAAGTAAACAATTATTTGCTTATTTTGCAGAGCAACAAGTGTTAGTAAATCTCCATTTCAAATGAAAGTGTTGGGTAAAGACATTCGAAGGTCGGTTCCACCACAAGACGATGGCGGATTCCTCTTGAACAGCTGTTCATTGGCTTAACTTGAATATTCATGCTGACGCCGTTTCCGAGGTAATCTCCTTCAATGCCGGTGAAAAGGTGCTAGGCTTTCGTCCATCATATGCTGAACATCATCACAGCAAGTTATCATCGTCATAACGAAATTCAAGCTAACGAGTCACAAAAACTCACCGGCAAATTCATAAAAAGTGGTATATATACTCTACATCTGGCCTATTTGATCAAATTTAAAGTTATTTGGTTAGTTAAGGTCATATATCAACTCCTATGCATTTGAGTGTGTCTGTATCTGTATTTGTATGTGCATGTTTTTGTTTGCTTATGCAAGAATCCCTAAGTGATGGCTCAAAGTAATTAGGATAGCAAAAAGAACCGTCTTTTTTTTGCCATCAAAGTTTGATGACTCCTATCTCCTCGTTTCTACATACATTTTATAACAATCACTCCGTTTGCGCAAGATCTGGCACTCGTCTGGTTTTGTTGATGAGCCTTTTTTTGTTTTGGTTTCAATGCGAGAGAGAAAGAGTGATCTAAAAGTACAGATAAGTGACTATGATTAGTACCAAGACAAGAAAATACTGGTTGCGTCGTCTCCTTTTTGCAGGCGGCTCAACTCCCTCTCTATCCTTCAGTCTATTGATTAAGCACAAGTAATTTTTTCTTATCTACTTACCAATATTCCTTACATTTAATATATTTCCTATTCGGTTTATTTCTATGGCTTCTCTAATTTAACGTTTAGCCGCAAACATACCATAATCAGCAAAACGACAAATTTAAGGGCCATTTAATCTCGTCTCCCGTTTCTGCCCTGTACTCAGCAAGCTCCGATTTTTGAACCAAACAGCCTTTGCAGGCGCGTTTGTCCTCAGTCACCATTTGTCGAATGAGATGACAAGTCTCTGCAACATAAAAGAAACCACATGAACACATTATTTTGTAGCAACCTGATTTAGATAACGGGTCAACTTTCTCTCTAAAAGGAGCATAACTAAAGAAAGTGTCGTAGTTTCCTTGAAGACCATTTTTATTTTCCACTTCCTTACTTGTTTATCTATCCTTTTAGAGAGAACGCACGAAGGTAAAGTCAAAACTTTAACAAAGTTCTTCTTATCTCTCCTTATGTATTCACCATTCAAAAAGCTATTCTTTATTAATCTAATTTTATTTTCAATCAAGCATATGGGATAATTATTCACAAGAAATATTATTTTCAGCCGATTCAGTTCATTGTCTTGGCAATTCAATACTATAGGATTTAAAAAAATTAATATTTCACATGATTCAGTTCCTAAATGTTGTATTCTTGGTAGACGTCCAGATTTACCTATTTCCACTAATAGGGAACTAGTGTATATTGCAAGAATAATGACCTGAGTATGTAGTAAAGCTTTTGCATAAATAAAGCAAATTGGTCATTGGATTAAAAAATAGGCAAAGTGTATCAAGTTAAAACTATTAATTTAAAAAAATACATATGGGCCTTTAATCACCTTTTTAGATATACTTAACTTGATGTAAAGGTCTATAAAGTAAAAGTCGTACAAAAAAACAATCCATGTGCACTATGCCATATAGCAATGGATGAATATAGTACTTAAATAAACACCCTATCCGCCTTATAATATCTTCTAATTTGCTATATTATCAATAAAATATATAATAGATAAACTTTAGCATATTTGTTGTAAGAATCTTCGTGTGCTTTTAAATATGTTTTGTTTATCTCTTTAATTAATCCTAAGGTCGTAACGCCAGTTCGATTAGGCTGCCGGCGAGTTCATATTCTCCCTGTAGTCCATTTCTCTGCGTATTCTTGCCTCTATTTCACATAGGCCTTTACTATTCTTTCATATACCCTTTGAATCTACATTTTTTGACATGTTTCCTATTGACGAAGAACATTTAGAAGCCGTTCGGAAGCTCATGGAGCCTTTTGATATGAATATTGAGGCATACACTAGAGTACGTGACTTGATGTCCCGAGCAATGGAATTGGGCCTAGACCCTAACCAACGTCAAAAGGCAGCTGTGAAAATGTACCCTTCCTTTGTTACTAAAATGCCGAACGGAACAGGTACATTTATTGCTATATTATACATTTTAACTTTTTAGAAACTGGCCAATATCTCGCCTTAGATCTTGGCGGGACAAACTACCGAGTTATTCTTGTCACTCTATCAAACAAGGAGCCACCTCGTATAGAGGAGAGAACTTACGCTATTCCTAAAGATAAAATGCTTGGCACTGGGGAGGAGGTGATTACATTCATTATAAATGCTTTTAATATAGCTTGTTACTTTTCCTTGGATTATTTCATATCAATTTATTATATTTTTAACAATAACGTTAGCATGTGCTCCATTTTGCATCCTGTTCATGTTCTTTTTTAGCTTTTTGATTACATCGCTCAAACCCTTCATAATTTCCTCGACAGCCATGGACTTGCTGAAACAGTGTTTAGTCTTGGATTTACATTTTCATTTCCTTGCGAACAACACAGTCTTTCAGAATCTATTTTGGTACGATGGACTAAAGGTTTTGCAGCCTTAAATGTTGAGGGTCGCAATGTAGCGAAGCTTCTTCAAGATGCAATAGACAGGACGGTAAACTTGCTTTTATATTCGTGTTCTTTATTTATGTTTTTTAACTCGCTTCAATCATCCTACCATTGATCTGCTTCATGCGGTTATAGATATGAAGAATAACTCGGTTTCGATGCAGTAGCATTGTTGTTGAAACTTTCATTTCGTATGAAAGTCTACAGAGATTCGAAGGTCAATCTCACCAGAAGAGGATGGTTGAATCCAGTTGTACTACAGCCGTTTGGTTTTTATACGACATTGAGATTGATACAACGGGATTCGACCGTCATTTTCTGGTAAGATCGATCTTAGAATCTTCATACATTTTCATACGAAATGAAAGTCCCAACAATAATTTATACGGTTACTTGTAATTTTTTATTTCTTCTTAGCTTTCCTTTCAAACTTAGCTTAAACAATGCTTATATCTCTAAATTCTACTATATATCATACTTAAAATTCATTGTCTGAAAAACGTTTAGTGACAAAGTAATTTTTGAATTTAAAAATATTTATTATCAAACTGTACAACGATATAATTCAACGAATTCATCTTGTTTTCCTGCGATTTTTTTGTTAAAACTAAATTCAAGATCGCCAGCAAAGGTCTATTTTTAAAATTTTGTTTAATTAGAATCCTTTCTTTTTCCATGGAACACTAATACACTACAAGTCTTCATCAATAGTTCTTTACATTTGTTTCATTTATCAATCCAAGATATCCTTTGTAATTTTGTGATTTTGGGCCATTTTCTTCGCTACTAGTGGTATTAAACCCTGAACCATTGCTTATTAATTTTGCTAATTAGTCTTTGCCTTTACCTTATTTTCAAATTTTATGCTTTACATTCTGCTTTTTTGGTATAGGGTGTCAAAGTCAAATGTGTGGCTGTCATTAATGACACTGTGGGAACTTTGGCTTCCTGCGCTCTTCTTGATCAGCGGTGTGCCATAGGGCTAATCGTAGGTAAGTTTAGAAATAAGCTAAAACATCACAACCCTTAATATTACTTTTATAATTTTATCTGACTTCTGTTTCATCTTATACTCCTTTGCAATTTCACTTTATACTTATATATATATATATATAAATTCACTATCGCTAATCATCAGGTGTTAGTTGAACCACTTTTGATTAATAGCGGTGACTCTTTAAAAAGCGCCTTACAAAAAATAAGGTATTAAGCCTAAGCCTTTATAGAACCCATGCTGCACTATTACATGCAATAAATTTGTACCCAATACTACCGTACCATGGCTTTGATAAATCGCAGTGCTGTACTATTATCTACTGCGTAGTCCTCATGTTTATTTATGCATACAGATGTAATAAGGAAATCCTCATCAGCTTGATCATCCAATTTTTTTCTCTATTACCTACACCCTTTGACAAAGGATTTCAAATACAAAAAAGCTTCGTATTACAAAGATTGACAGTTTAAATTAGGATGCCCAAGGTTCTGCTCGTCAGTCATTAAGTACGATCGGTTATGCTCGTTTTCACGTAGAAATTGTCTTATCTCTTGTTAAAATCAAAAAATGTATCCTTTTTTTGACTGGCTTGGGTATTTTTACTTCCATTAATTCGATGTCGATTTCCTTAAAGATGAGTCCTAGATTCCCGTTAAATTTATTTATTTTACACTTTATTGCATTCTTTTTGTTTCATAGTTCTCGCAACCGCGAATGTGCATTAAAATCATACTATTTAGGTTCAATAGTATTGTTTATTGTTTAGAGTAAAACTTTATGGGGTGTACCAAAAAGTTTCTAACTATTTGTACTGAATTTCTTTAGCAATTGTTTGCACGGAAATTTCACTTTGTCTAATTTCTAGGACAAGATAACATTATATATTTTGTACGTTCAATTATCGCTGTTTCACAAAATCATATAATTTATGGAACTAATTGTTGCTATCGTCGGCATTATATCAATCAGTTAACCAATTAGCACCACTATTTTCATCCATACTGCTTCAATTATACGCATTAGGTAGACTTGTAATAGAATGCATCTATCCCCTTTAGAATATTATACTAACGTCTAAGACATTTTAAGCTCCCTACAAATATTGAAATATTTTTTTCCAGGTAATCTAAAGAAAGCTGTTGATTGACAGCTATTACTTACATTTATAACCATTGCAGCGTTATCGTTTCTATGCCATGACAATAATAAAGGCTCGCAACACTATTTAATTTTCGTGGTGACTTAAATCAAGCTAAGTATGTATTTATAATTTTAATTGATCATTGCGATGGCTTTACCTATATATGATACCTCAAACTTGAGTTGTGCTCATAAGCCATCCCAGTTCGCTTAATGCAACTTAAAAGCAGGTATTTGAGTTTTCCCACAATGCTATGAGTGTGTATTGCACTGCCAATTAACTTTACTCTGCTTGGCTTCCCAGAAAATTTTCCTCATCAAGAATGGCCTACAAGACAATGAAGAAGCCTATTCATATTGTGGTTGTAAAAATTCCATCATGTAAAGTACCTAATTTGACTAATTACTTATTCAAGAAACATTGATAGTTTCGAAACATACTCAAGCGAAATATAAATTATTATTCGCTTTGCATTTAAATCCTTTTTAAGGCATTCGATAGTCTGTGCATAACGTTTTTAACACCAAACAATATTCGTACTAAGCAGATTATAATATGCATACATAACTATAACATCAGAATTATTAAGCATACTTTTATCTCTATTTGATTCTCTTTTATAAGTCAGGCCCTAACATGATTCTTAAAAAATATGCGATTATTACTTCGTGTCTCATAAGCACTATCCGCAACTTTTATTCTTCTCATTGCTGTGTTTCGGTTAAATAATTACGATTACAACCCTTACTGAACATACCCGGTGAATATTATCTATTCTCGTATAAGATTATTTATTTCTTCCTTTATCTGGCTAGTTACCGTTTTTTTATTAACTTATTGTGTGTGTGTGTGTGTGTGTGT